TTGCGGGAGGTAAACCACCCTTCTCGTAAGGAATAATTGTTATGACGAATGGGTGACGAAAGTCTATTAACATTTTTATCTATAGTCTGATCTATCTATCTAAAAACTAAAGCTAAAGCAGAACACTATTATTTTTTGGTGTTTTTTATTTTTTAATAAAATAAGATTAGATAGGTAGATCAGACTATAGATAAAAATGTTAATAGACTTTCGTCACCCATTCGTCATAACAATTATTCCTTACGAGAAGGGTGGTTTATTACCTCCCGTAACAAGGGTGCATGAAAAGTCGAACATGTAAACTTTACTATCTAACATAAAAAACATTTTGTAATAGTTTCGTGTTGATCGGTACATTACTTTTATGTGAAACATCATGACGATGCCCTAATACCCTCAACTTTGGAGGTCGATTTCACCCCTTTAATGTTGATCATTGCCGATAAAAAAAAATACATATCTATTATTTTTGCCTACTCTACAAGTGTGCAAAGTTTCAATGAAATCGGCGAGTCACACAAAGGTAGGTTTACTTGTTAGTATTAGGCAACAAAATGAGTTGATAGAATTTAATTAGTACCACAAGCCAACCTTTTCGGGTAGATATTTGAACTTTTGGTCACAGAGCACGCGGTTTCTCAAAAAATAGGTACAATCGCGGGATCAGTTGATAGGGTGGTTTTGCTTTCGAATCCTAAATCCCATTTTGATAATTTTGTAATTAAAGTATTGTTAGAGAATGATTATCCTTTGTTTTATATTTGAGAATATTAACAACCGTTTGAAAAATATTATTATGGCTAGTAATAATGTAGGAAGAGGGTTGTTAGTGATAATAGCGTTGATGTAGTACAGCCTTCATGGTTCACTGTCCCTTTCGTTCGTGGTATTACTGAGAAGTTTAATAGATTGAATAGCGAGCATATGAGGGTGTCATTTTATAGTGTTAATAAATTGCGAGAATTTATTAGGGTGCATAAGGACCCCTTACCGCGTGATAAGAAGTCGAAGGTTGTTTATAAGATTTCGTGCAAGAGCTGCGACGCGAGTTATGTTGGACAGACGTGTAGACAACTGAAGTCAAGAATCACGGAACATAAGAACCACATCCGATGGAACACGTCTGCTCGCAGTGTTATAACGGAACATCGGTTGCAAGAGGGACACGATTTTGACTGGGACAGTGTTGCAATATTGGACGAGGAACCTCACTACAGGAAGAGATTGATTTCGGAGATGATATTTATCAGAAGACAAACGCATGGACTCAACCTACAGACGGATATGGAGGGGCTTCCAAAGGCCTACCTCCCGATTATAGATAAACTATAAAAGCTCGAGTTGTTGTCACGTCTTGTCAGTCGGTGTCGCTCGTACACAGTAATAAGTCCTTCTGACGAAATTTTTTTATCATTTTACAATTTTCATTAGTAAAAAATTGGTTGCTGCTTCTGCTGCTTGACGCTTGACGGCTCCATGTGTCTGCACCTTAAGTCCTTCTGACGAAATTTTTTTTTTTTTAATTATTTTACAATTTTCATTAGTACTAGCTAATAACTAAAAAAGTGACTCACTGTGTCTGATACCGACTGGTCAACATATCAGGAACCGGTTCTTGAATTATTCATGATATTATTTGCGATACGGTAATTTGTAATCGTGATGAGCGTCCCTATTTTCGGTTAGTTTTTCGATAAATTAGTTTCTATATTCTTTAATTTGACATTTTTAATATTTTCCTTCTTTTTCATTTTCTTTTCTTTCTTTTTATTTAATTCTGACATTTAAATTCTCGATGTAGGGGAGCTCACCATGATAGGATAATTTTTACTTTATATATGTTAATGTGTGTTTGCTCTGAGGAAGGCTCAAAAATGAATCGAAACATGTAAACGCGTTTAGTAAATAAAGAAGTTTCACTCTTTATAAGTGTATTGTTTGCGCGACGTCTTCTGCGCCCGACTTCTAGTGCCCTTACTCTTTTCAATTCATAAATTATTATAATTTAGTTATTTCCATATGTTTAGGTATATATCTGCTCTACATGTTAACTATGGATGCGTTCCAATATTCACTGCCAGTACTGAAAATCTATAGTATATGTTACGTATACTATAGATTTTCAGCACTGGCAGCGAAAATCGGAATCGGAACGCACCCTATAGAGTTTTGGTTACTGTAGTTACTAGTTAGAGTTCCTAGACGTTTATGCTAGTGACCTTAGGATCTCTATTTTCTAGATAGGATAGATACGTGGTACGAATATAAAGCAATATAATTATAAAGGCATATGACCACGAACGCCTGATATCGTTGTCTAAAAATTATTATATTTGATAAAATACAGTTAATAGACGTTTCGGTCTTCAATGAGACCTTCTTCAGTATTAGCATAAATTAAATGTGTTACGCATAATTATAACATGATATAAGACTTATTATTGACT